TTCATTATCACCCAGTGCACTGAATAGGAAGACACAGAGTTGCTATAGCAACGCTGTCCTTGCTTATCTCTGTTTCTCTGGCAACAATCCTTTACTTTCTGCTGTATTCACGCTCTTTGTTGCTATAAAATTCCTTCATTGTTTTTCATATTCACAGCTCACATCAGGCCAGTATTTAGGTGCAGACTTGGTGTCTTCCTTACAGAGTTTTACTGGACTTCTACAATTTCACATTAATTCTGGTAGACTTTGAAACTGATGAAGAAAAATAAACCATTTAGGCAGCTGTAGAGAGGCGTGGTAGAAGAATTGTTAGAAATTCCTTTCCATTACATAGGACCGAGGATTCATTTGCAAATTACCTTGGCTTGAAGGCACAGGCATGGGATTCCTTGGTGATGTTCAGTGCCTGGGTTTCTGTTGGTTGCTCTCTTTCAAGATGAGAAACTTACCCTGGTCCTGCTGGCTACAATTTTAGTTATGCAGTGCAGATTGAAATTGGTGCAGAGGTTTCAGAACAAGAAGATTTTTTTTTTTGTTTTTTTTTTTTATGAACAGCAGGTTCATAACAGTGTTCTATAACATAGTACTCTTATTCATTTTGACTTACTCATAGTAATTAGCAGATTTGGTAGCTCAGGAAAAGGCCAAGATCTTTTGATATGGTTGGCATTGGCTGCTATGATTATTCCTCAACAAACACTCTCTTTGTCACAGAACTATAGATAAATGACCTTTGCTAATGTTCATATGAGTCTTTCATGCAGGCGTTCCTATTCATTTCAATGAAAATTTATTGCTCAATATCTTACAAGTGGAATTATGACCTGTGGTGCTTTGTTTATCTGCGAAGACAGTCATGTTTCTTTCCATGTGATGTAGTGCAATACTGACTGTTGAAGAAAAAAGGACTATTTCTGAAGTTCTTGTTAGTCTTTGTAAAGCTCTTATTCACAGCTCTTACATTAGCTCTTGACAAATTTATGGATTGATGGATGCTGAATGTTTATTTTGTGTCAGCACTGGGGCAGTTTGTCATTTCACACTTAGCTCACTGGAGAGACGTATGTTCTCCTCACGTTAGGTCATTTTCTAAGCCCGTGTATTTAATGAAATATGAAACGTACACAGGGAATTCATAACAGCAAATTTGAATGAGCTGCAAGCTTGATAACTTCCTTTTGGACGTAGTAACTACTTCATTCATTTATTCTCATCATTATGTGATGCTTGGGTGTTCTGTCTATTATCTGCATGATCCTTGGGGCCTGAGGAGCTGATATGAAGGAATCAATAAGGCAGTGTTGTGGTTTTTTTCTTTTGTTTGTTAGAATAGATACTTGCTGTCAGTATACTTCCAATTAAGTTGAATCAGGGGAATTTAAATTCACTAGGACTCTCGTTTAAATTGAAATGGGTACATAGCAGTTCAAGTTCCATGCAAATAAAGAAAGCAAACAGCATCTTATAATATCCTTGATGCTTTTGGTCTGTAATGAATGTCTGAGCTCACTTGGATTATTACTGAAGGGATCTGTATTATCTTGTTCTTTATTGTATCACGAGAAGAAATCTGACTCCACGGAAGAAATTAGTTGAATATACGCTGGGTGATTCTTGATAATCTGTTTTAATTTTTTAGCTATTTCTGCATACTTGCCTGTTTTGCTCTACTACTGGTTTGCCATCACGAATGCTGGATGACACTGTCTTGTGTCTGATTGCAAGAGCTATTTCAAGCACAGGTTCAAGCCTGTGTGAAGACCATTTCTTGTAGTGTGTTCTAAGCACTGTTCTGGAAGGATGCTTTGTATTGCACTGAGAGGCTGCTGATGAGAAAAGAGAAAAGTTTTAGTCTTAATATTTTCATATACTCATTTTCCCAAACCATGATCTTGTCGTCTTTTTTAAATCTAGCTGTTTATTGCATTTTGTGACCCTTGTCTATTAGTCATTCATCTTGAGAGCAGGTAAGATGGGAAGGGACATGATGACAAAGAAAGTTATGGTTTTAAATAGCAGTCTTGACAGTTCCTCAATAAAAGGTAACTCAACAAATTGCCAGCGCTTCCTGATCAGAGAAGTATTCAAAATGCAACGGAGAAGTGACTTCAGGCTTGGCAGGCTCTGATCAGCATCCAGTGCCTAAGAGTCTCTGTGATTTGATATGTATCTGCTCTGCCGCGTTGCTGATCAGTAGTCACTCCATGTCTGATTCTTTGCCCTGTGGCAAGACTTGTGAATGTAAAGAAATCTTAAAGCAGAAGTAAATGAATGCTGATCTAGGACATCCGTTCATGCCGTGTGGGATTAACAGTTGTAATAAATACTTAAATGAGAGGTTTTACCTACTATTATAATTATATTTAATGAATTACACATTATCAGAAATTCTTAATTGTTGTCTGCTTTGTTTGTCAGTTTGTGCACTTCCTGGTTTGTCAGGGCATCAAATACTGGGTGTTTGGATTATGACTAGATTTATAAAGCTAAAGCAAATTTATCAGAAGTTTGTCCATTCTTCAGTATTCCTGCAGTATGTCTGAGCATGTCTTTGTGTATTACCTTTGTAGTCCTGTGTTAATATCGTAGGTGAATGTTTTGGAAAATAATTCTGATGTGTAGCTGCATGCTTTTAAGCTAGCTGTTGTTAGTTGAGTGGTTTTCACAGGCTTTCATGTGTTGCTGGAGACAGATTTTTTTTTTTAGTTACTTTGTATAAATACAGCTAAATTACAATGTCTGAGAGTGTTGTAGTGAGTCATCAACATCTTTATGGCTATTATATATTTCAGTCCATGTAGTGCTATTCCTGTTATGTTAGTCTATAGTTTAGGACTCAAAATCACAACGTGACTGTTGAAATAGATGAGTTGTGCCATGCAGGTCATTGTGTAGCTCTTGACATCAAGACTGTTAATTCTGTCTTCTGTATAGAGTTTGTGTATCTGCTATTTATAGTGCTTGGATGAGAGTTGTGTATCGAGTTTGGTTTTGTTTTTAAATACACACATCAAATCTAGTACAAGGGAGCTTAAAAAGCAGAAAAAGGAACATAATTAAGAAATTGCAAAGTACCAGTAAATGAATTGAAATGACTAAATTTGCTGGTGGCAACATAGGTGCCCTATTAGGTCAGAGTAGCTGGAATGTGAAATAAATTGTAGATACGAATACTGAACCAAAAGTAAAGCCTCCTATTTTATTATGTTGGCCCATGATATCAGAGTTGGGTGTTGTGATATGGCAGTGGTGGTTGAACCTTCCCACCTGTGTTCCATCACCATGCAACTGATGGTGGCAAAGGGGCAGTCTGACAAAATGTCTGACATGGATGTGTATATAAAGCAAAGGTATGGAATTGAATTCGTCCCTGTGGGAAAAACTGCACCCACTGGCACTCATTAGTGCTGAACATAGGGATACCAAACAGTAACCGTGAGGTGGTAAGTGGTGTGTTTCAGCAGTGGTGACAGCAATGTTTCAGATTATCATGCAGACTTTTACAAGTGCGGCATGCAGGCTATTGTTCATAGATGGTGAAGATACCTGGACAATGGTGGTAACTATGCTGAAAAAGTGTTTTGTAGCTGAGAATTTGCTCTGTCAAGTAGTGTTGTTGTGCTCTTCTTAGTTTCCGTGGGAGTAAATAGGAAGTATTACTTCCAGAGAGACCTGTGTACTTTGAGAAGTCACAGAAAGATGGGACAAAGGTACTGTTCAAAGTTTAACTATTAACATAGGCATGCCTTTTTTTTGGTCAGCGTACTAATTCTAAAAGAATATTTCCAGACAAAATGAGATAATAAAATTACATGATCTCAAGTCTTATTTACATCAAACTGTTCAGTTGGAATGAATGCAAATGCTATGAGTTGGTCTATTCAGAGATGATTAAGATTTAATCTTAAGACACTAAGATTAATTTTGTTTATAATGCGTGTGTTCATCTCTTCATTGATTAGGTTAATTTGAGTTGAATGAAGGTATTGATCAAGAAGAACATTCTACCTTAATTCTAATTAGTGTTGTGTAAGTAGTCCCTATTTATGACCATTTACGTCTCCATACAGGAGATGGCACAACATAAATTTGCTAAGATGGATTTTCTTATGAAATTTCTGGTTTCTTTCCAACTTCACTCAGTGGAGAACTGAATGTGCATTTTTGATCTGGACTTCCCTTGAGCAAGAACTTAGTTTTAAGACTTTTGAAATATTTTAGCTAAGAATTGAGCTCAGTCAGTGTTCTAGGAGAGGGGAAAAGGGAAGGATAAGAAGCAGGAAGTATCAAAGCCTGTTGCCTATTCAGCTTGTGGTACTCAGATGTGACAAATTGACTGCGATTTGCACTTTCCAGGCCAGACTATCACTTCACTGGGTTTTGTTTGCATGTCCTGTTGGTGAGCTGCTGCTTCCATTTAGCACTTTCTCTAAAATGTTCTTATTTAAAAAATGCCAGTTTCCCATCTGCTGTTCTCAGATCAGACTTTGTAATTCTGTCACCTACTTATATCTTTTAGAGAAAAATAGTTGTCTACAATGTTTTCTATTTTGAGTGTTTTAGGATTATCTGCTTAGATTTCTTTACTAGGACTTATAAGAATTGGGTAATTAACTCCAGTTTCATTGCTATTGCCATTTTAAGGCTAACTTAATGATAAAGGAAATTTTATTTTCAACGCTCCTTGTTGCCAAATAGATCTGGATAGGAATCCCTATTGTGGTGAAGTAATTGATGGTTACGTACAAAATGCTTTAATGTATGAACAGCTGACCACAGTTTATCACCATCCATGACTCCTGGATGTTTTAGGGACTGATTTTAGTGATTTGCCCCTCTGAGTTTATGTAATGCTGACCCACAATGCCTATTTTGTTAATGCTTTATTTCATTTAATACAATCTTCTGACAGCACTGATTTATAAAAATGTCGACGGTGTGTTCTTTGCGGCATAGCAGGTGTTGAGCTAATTTTGTTTTAACTTCTTTGGTAGGTTCTCCACCTTTCTGAAGAATCGTGATGTCCTACTTCTTAGGTAATAAGTTATTATAAGTTATTTGACAAACTTGATGATAATCTCTGATTTGGCATAACAAGCACGTGGAACTGTAATTTCTTGGTCCCACAGTGGTCATCTAGTTTATGCTATGTTGGATTATATGTCAAAATTGTCTTCATGCCATCCGTTTGAGTTAATACGTTCTGTGCTACTTTACTGTAGTTCCTGGTGTCTAAAGATTCATTCTTCACATTAGTTTGCAGTATTTCCTTTCTTTGAAGGTGCTGTTAACTTAATTTCTTAATTAGAATAATGAGAACTGACAGTAAGAAGGCAGAATAATGAAGTCACTTACAGAATTTGAACAAAAATCTTATTCTGCATAGATAAGAATATTTTGTACTTAAGTGAGAACCGCAAGAACTTATTTTTCTGTTAAATCTTTTTTGCTTTGATAAAAGTGGAAAAACTGAACTTTTCATGGCCAGTTTCACTCTGAAATGAATATATTGTAAAGTAAGCAGATACGATTATTGCTTTTTGTCCATTTGGTGGATGAAATACAGGATCCTACTTCATAAGAGTAATGTCAGAATATGAGCTATTTTAAGGACTCTTGGGCTACCGAGGCTGCATCCAGCCTTATTAGACTGGTAACATTTGAAGTGCTGTACTGAAATCTCTTGACCATCATTAGGCTGTAATTAGTTGTAGTATTCTTGCCGCAGTGTGTGTGGATCATTGCCAATACTTCTCAGTATCTATTATACTTCATAATTTTCCATTTTATTTTTGACTGAGCTGGGGACAATCCTTAGGGCTCTCAATTCTGTGCTGTTGTTTCAGTTACAGTTATAAAAGATGTTCCATTTACCATTGCAGCCTTTAGGCACTATCTCTAAGTACAGATATTAACAACAAATTTAATCTTTAAAGCCAATGTTTTATTAGAAATATGAACTTAAAAGCACTTTACTAGAACTTTAGTCTTAATTTTAAATTCTTGACAGACCTGTAAGATCCATCATAGGGTTGCATCGTAGAAGGCTGAGAGAACTGGCTGATGTCACTGAGAAGCTAATGGCTGAGTTGCGTTTTGGGGGAGGTTGGAGACTGAGGGAAGTTGGATTGCATTTTCTAGAGGAGATGGGGGAGTCTTTGCCTTGGGAAGTCTTCAAATCTAATGTTAAACTAAGCCCTAAGCAACCTGGTCAGAATTTGGTGGTTATCCTGTTTTGAGCAGGAATTTGGGCTTAGATGGTGTGCAAAAAGTTCCTCCAATGTGGATGATTCCAAGAGATTGGAGTTCTACATTAGAAATGTCTGTGGATGAAGTTTAGTTTTAATTTTCCCTTACTCTAAAGGCAGTAAATGTTTCTTCTTGTAACTTTTGTCATAATGAAAAATTGCGAGCAAAACATGGGATTGCTGGAACGTTGTCTCAATTTTGATTTATCTGTCAGTTTGAGACTTGTTTTTTATTCTTACCGTTTCACTTCGGCAAATAAACATAGTGCTGTCTCTGATTTCTGCTGTTTATAAAAGCTCTATTTTTCAGATACCTAATTGTAGAGTAGATAGAAAAAACAAGCAGGGAAGGAAACTGGAAGGAATAACTAGAGAATGAATACTGAGTAACTGCAAATTCAATAAAGCAGTCCCTCTTCTTACTTTGTGGAACAGGACTAAAACATAATCCATCAGCAGTCTGCTGACAAGACAATTGTGAAAACTCAGTCACTGAAGTTTTGACATTCAGAACAAAAGTCTAAAGACACTCGATGTTGTGGTTTCCGTATGCCAGCTGGGGATGTGACAGGCTCCTACAATATGCATTTTAGACATGGAATAAGTTTACTTTGCTACGGTTCTTGCTGACAATATAAATTTGCCCAGTGTAATGTATGAACTATCAGAGTTTCGTCTGTAAACTGTCAGGAGATTTTCAGGCAGGGGTGGTAATGGCGATGGCAGTGAAGAAAATCTGTGTTGGAAACTTCAGGATCTTGATTAATCTGCTTTCTTCTAATTTTGAGAACCTTGGTATTTTTCTTTTATCTGGCCTTGTGGATTAGATGGCTATTTCTCAGAACTTCAAACTATCAATGAAACGTATATATACATGATACACCTCAATTAACCTGTCATCTAATTGCATTACAGATTCATAGCTGTTACAACATCTTTGTCAATGATATAGATGATGGGATGATGAGTGCACACTCAGCAAGTTTGCTGATGATGCAAGGATGGGTGGTGTGGTTGATAAAGGAGAAGGGAGGGATACCATCCAAGGGGACCTTGATGAACTTGAAGGCTGGGCCCTTGTGAACCTAATGAAGTTCAACATAGCAAAGTGCAAGGCTTCGCACTTGGGTCAAAGTAATCCCAGGCATGCATATAAACCGGGAGAAGAACTCATTGAGAGTAGCCCTGCTGAGAAGGGCTTAAAGGTCCTGGTTGAAGAAAAATTTTGTGAATCAGCAGTATATGCTTGCAACCCAGAAGGCCAATGGTGTCCTAGGTTTTATCAGAAGAGGAATGAACAGCAGGGTGAGAATGGTGATTGTCACCTTCTGTTCTGACCCTGTGAGACCCCAGGTGGAGTACTGCATCCAAATCTGGAGTCCCCAGCATGGGCAGGATGTGGAGCTTTTGAATAGGGTCCAGAGGAGGGCCACAAAGATGGGCCAAGGGCTGGAGCCCCTCTGATGACAGGCTGAGGAAACTGGGCTTACTCAGCCTAGAGAAGAGAAGGTTGTTAGGAGAACTTACTATGGCCTTTCAAGTATTTAAAGGGAGCTCACAAACATGAGGGAAATCAGCGTTTTATATGGGTAAATAGTGATAGGATGAGGAATATGGTTTTAAACTAAAGGAAGGGAAGTCGAATGCCAGGGGGAGCTTTTTACTGAGTGGTGAGGTGCTGGAGACTGCTCAAGAGCTTGTGGATGGCACCATCATTAGAGGTGTTTAAGGCCAGGTTGAATGAGGCCCTGGCCCATCTCTTCTGGTACTTGGTCCAGCAACTGGCACCCCTGTCTGCAGCAGGGGGGTTGGAACTTGATGATCCTTGAGGTCCCTTCCAACCCAGCCATTCTATTGACTCTCGTTTCATCCCGTGATGCTGACAGTTTCTATGTCTGTGTTACAATGTACGACCTCAGGGATTTGTTACCTTTCTGCATTTTGTAAGGTTTCAGTCTTTTTTTGTCTTTTTTTTTTTTTTTTTTTTTAAAACATCTAATCTAAAAACTGTTTTCACAGTATTATTAAATCTTCTTTTGTTTCCTTTTAGGAGATTATCACTGGTGCTTCTGTGCAAAATCTTGCCTGCAGCTATATTTTTATACTGTTCACTAAGCTCTTGTAATTCTTCACATTTCTCCCTTCTGAACATACATTTCATGCTCATTGCAGTACTAAGAAACTCACATACACATCGAACAGTTTGGGGAAAAAATGTGAGAGACAGTGCAAAAATATATATTCCATGAAGTTGAAAGCTATCTTTGCAAAGGAATTTGTTGTTTCAGCTTACTGTGTAGTATTTCTGTGCCTTGTACAAAAGGACATGAAGGACGTGAGAGATATTTCAAGGTAAACCTGCAAAAGATTTAAAATATCAAGAAATATATATTTCATGAGGTTGAAAGCTATCTCTATCTTTGCAAAGGAATTTGATGCTTCAGTTTACTGTGTAGTATTTCTGTATATTGTACAAAATATGTTAAGGATGTGAAATAGATATTTCAAAGTAAATCTGTAGTAGATTCTAAATCATATTAGGAAATGGAGGAAATTTTTCTGTCTGTCAATGTATAGTAGGGCAGACAAACATCTCCACTGTTTGTTTCTCAATTAAATGCTCAGTTTGTACATTTAGCTTGTTAGCTGCATAAATGCAAAGTAGTTTTCAGGCACTACTGAAAGGAAAACCCAATGAACTTATTGCAAGTTCACTGTGTTTAAAGGGTGATTTTTAAGCAATAGTCAGAAAAGTTCCTGAGAAAAGAGAATATTTAAGATATTGCAGTGTTGCTGTTCTATATTGGAGCACTTAAGTGAATTCAAGCATGGTGTGAAAATTTATTTATACACTGTGTATCCTTAAATCTTTATCTTCTTAATCCTTGGAGTCTTGTTAAATGTATTCAAAATCCTTGCAGCTTCCCCCACTATTTTGCTGTTTCAATGCTCTTGGTCATTTTGTTGCTGTTGTTTTCTCTTCTCCTGTCATCCCATCTTAGTCACTTACTCACAGATCTGTGAAGATGACAAAGTAGTTCAAAGAGCAGAGAAACATGGAGATTTGTATCCTACATATGCACCTCTTCTCTTGATTATTTTAACTTTTTACTACTAGATTACTGTGAGCGCTTCTAAAAACATAGACAACAAGGATGTTTCTGCAGCACGTTTTGAAGAATTGTATCCGGATGGCTTTAATGTAGACGGATAAATATTAATATACTAACAAGGAGTCAATTTTCATTATACATACATAGGAACCCAGTTTGCACTTGTACATAATCATACATCCCCCTCACCCTTCTCCCTTGCCTCAAAAAAAAAAAAAAACCTCAAGGATTTTCTAAATCTTTGAAGGCTATATGCTATGACCGAATGCAATCCCCAGATCTGTTTAGTACAGCAGCACATGGTAAGTGGAGGCTTATTTTGGAAGAAGTTTTGGAAGGTCTGTGGGTAATACCTTTGAGTTATCAAGCACTGCTGTGTGTCAGTTCCTTAGGATATGCTTCATATGAGTGCTTAAGTTCCTGATTAACTCAAATCAATCACCTAGGCAGGTTGAAACAGCAGTTATCAGAACCCGTTATCAAGAACTTCTGTTTACAGAAGCCATATCAGACAAATTCTAGGAGAACTCTCTTTATGAAGTTTGTTTTAAATCTCTTGTTACTAATGGACAGATTTAAAGTTCCTTTATTATAATAGATTTCATAAGCAAGAAACTTCTTACATGTTAATGACTGTTCTAGCAACTTAAGCACCAGCTGCTATGACACAATTGC